TTGGCTAATTTGCTAATTATTGTCAATTTGCTATATTGTTCGACATTATTTTATTAAACATATGTTTAAAGTTATTTGGATATTGCAATTGCAACATGTATAATACTTTAATGTTTACCTTTATTATTTGACATAAATAAGATTTGTAATTATATATTTTAAATATACTGATGGTTAATTACCGTAAGAAAATAAGTGTAATGCGTAAATATTGTCTACCTAAAATTGTTGATATTCCTAGAATAGTGCTCTTAAACTGAACAGGTACGTGAGCTAATGGTAGTTTGTGCAACAAGAGTGGATATGATGGTCATATCGCACGACGCTGTAGGCGGAGTGCTCAATCGTCTAAGTGCGATATGGATAATATGCTTGAGTTGTATAGTATATTGTTTCTGCGAGCCACTAACGAAAATCTAAAAATTTAAAAAAATATTTTAAGTTATTAAGATAAAATAACTAATTTTAAAATAATTTATGACTTTAACTAATTTATAAAATAAAATAAACCTAAAAAAAAAATAATTTAATTAGTTCAGATTCAAACTCAGGCCTCTTATAAAATTCTGCTACGGTCAGGAAATTATCCTTATTCAATTAATGATTTTGGTTTTAATACTCGTTTTTAAATTAGTTTCATATAGTTTGATTAAAATTTAAGATTTTTTCAAAATGTGAACTAAATAAAAATAAAAATACTATTATTTATCGATTTTACACAAAAATAACTCATTTTAATGTATATTTAATCTCAGTTACTAAAAAATATACCTACGATTAGTTTGACAGAATTGTCACTTATTTAAAATTTTAAAAATAATAGTATAATAGTTGGGTGTCCAAAATATGAGCTGTGATTGGTGGATTTCATTTTATTGCAGTGTTGTCGCTACCTAGAATGGATATGAAATATATTCGTTTCGTTGAACGCAATAGCATACTTTTTCATTAGCCAATATCCATGCGGGTGTAGAAAAAATCATTAAAAAACAGAATCTTAAATTTGGGTATTTTACAGGAAATTTCAAGAAAACGCTATATATCCCGCTAAATAATTTTTTAAAGGTGAGACTTTTATAAGAAAATAATTCAAAAATAATTTAAAGGGGGGCGTCTTTCTGCTGATGTGTTGTACTCTGCCTCCCCCCCCCCCCATGTTTTTTACAATGGAACACCCTGTATATTTTCGCATTTTTGTATTTTTCTCTAATATTTGATTCCAAAAATGTATACCTCAGATGTAAAGTGAATCTTCTGGAAGTTGCGTTTTTAGCTCTTTTTCCCCTTTTCACCTTTTTTTGTATATTTTTCTTAAGATGTCCCCCTTTACGATTATTTAGGAAGGACAGTTTTCATTGAAATTCCCTGTATTTTAAATAACTATTGAGGTATTGATGTATTTTCATTGATATTTTGAAATTTGAAGCTCATTAAATCCTTTTTTATCAGATATTTATTGTAAGCTGTAGGTTCTTTCAAAAATACCAAGAATGGATTACCTACCAAGAATCTCAGGTTAGTATAATCCCTTCTTTTAAGCCTATTTTTATGTGGTGTTTATGACAGAGTAATTATTTAATAAGAATTAAATTAAAACAATAAAACCATCATAACATTGAATCTTGCAAAAACGGAATTTTCTACTTGTGATTATTTTCACCATATGGCAGTTGAATTTAATTTTATTTAGACCCATCGAAGACACAGCATATAAGTAACTTCCATTTTTAGCTATAACTACTTAATTTAAACAGCACCTTCAAAAAACATATTTTCAATTTAAAATGACCAATTTTTTTTTATTTCAAACTATTCACCTGTTAAATATTTTTCCTACGACCACTTAGGAAAGTGACACATATCACACTATATACTCCTATGGAAAGTGCCCTATATCACACGCGTATGAATAAGAATTTACTTTCCACCCGAGTGAGAATATGTTACTTTCCGCAGTAGTTGTCATAAAATGTCAAACACCTAATTTCTATTTTGATCTATGTAATGTCCATATTAATACTAAAATCGATATGATTGTTAAATTATTGAAATTGTTGTAAATTACATCCTAGATATTTATCTTTATCAATTATTATTAAAATAATTTTAAAATAATGTTTGCTCTTTATTCTGGTCAAATACATAACCGATTAGATCATTCAATTGACACAAGGGCTATTAGCTCAGGTGGTTAGGACGTCGAACTTATCAACTTTGCCATTTTTCGACCGCGTTCAAATCCTGGCGGGGCAGAATTTTTTTTTAGTTTTTTTTTTTGTTTAGAAAATATGAAAATTGAATAAATACGATTATTGTTGATTATTTTTTTAAATACATTTTAATTATTATAGTAATAATAACCTTGGTTTTACATTTTTTTGATGACATTATTTTGTGGTTGTAGGGAAAATATTGTACATCACTTGTGTGAAAAGTAATTTTCCACACTCGTGTGATAGTCGCACTCGGCTGTGCGACAATATTTTCCACTCGTGTGAAAAATGCCACTGTCCACACTCGTAATGTAATATAGGTACTATAAAATATATACAACATTACATAAAACACTTTTCCTATCAGAAATGTGCCAGCCTTGCAGGTACCCGCTGGGCCAATAGCGATATCTCCACCTATAGTATGCATTGTTGATTATTAATTCTGAATTTGGCTAAATATAGCAGCCCTTACTCCTTACCAGGGAGGCATAATTAAGGGATTAAGGATGTCTTGAAGTCAGTAATTGTAATGGTTTGTAGATTTGTTTTGTGTTAGTTATCTTTATTGTCCCCTGAAAGAGCTAGTAAAAAACAGGGTTGTCTTTGTATGTAAGTAGTCCTGTTCGTAGTCTATGTTTTTTGTCACAATTCTCAGGACAAGTGACCGAAAAGCCCTCCGAAAGTGCCGCAATCGAGGTGTAAAGTGCTCTCGACTGGGGCCCTGTCGGCCGGCTCATCGCTCAGTCGTCCTTCCGACTATAATGACCAATAAATGTATATAAATGAATATATGTAATATATGGTGATAAATGTGCTGGCGGTCAATTGTAGGCTATAAATTACCTAGGCGATCAATTGCTACGGTAAACTGCTAGCGGTCGATTGCTGGCGGTTAATTGCGGGCGATCAATTTTCCGGGTCCCGTTTTGAGATTATCTTTTCAATTTTCAGTGTTTTCTAAAAACGTCAATCATTCTTTTTTTAGACGAAAAATGGAATAAGCACTTCCGTATGTAAAAAAATTAAATACAACCAAAATTATGTATATAACATCAAGTCGGATAAAGTTGAATATATTATTTATAATTTCCAATTTTGATTTTTTCTCTTATTACAAAAAAGATTTTTCAAAGATTTGGTTAAGAATCGGCAACAGTGCTTACGTATTGCTGCAATCCTATATGAAGTTTGTTTAATAATGCGTTGTAGAATAAGGGTCGAAAAAGGGGTAAATTGACTAATTTTGGAATATAATGCGCAAAGTCTTCACTTAGAAATGTAAATTTATGTTTACCACGTTTGAAAATATTTTTTTATTATAATCATTATTTACACGTTGAAAAGTTAAAAAATATTGAATTTCATACAACTATTAAATATATTTTTTCTTTATTACATATTTGCAATTATACAGGGTGGCTCACGCTCAACGGGACGGAGCTTTATGGGAAAACGACCAAAGGTATAAAAAATTCGTTTGGGAGGAATACGTAGGTTACAGACGGCTACAATTTAAAATTTGTTAGATGTATACAGGATGTCCCACATAAGAAAAAAAAATTAGTTCATTAAAAATTATTCAAACAAGAGTAAACAATTAATTTCTGGGAGACTTTTTTTCCTTAAAAATTCAAATAAATCGAAAACTAATAATAATAGTAATAGGGAACCTTTAGTTAACTGACATTATTTTTGATGTAGTTTTTAATTCTAAAATAAAAAACAGGGTGTTCCATTAAAAATAATATAACTTTGTATATTTTCTCTTATGTGGGACATCCTGTATACATCTAACAAATTTTAAATTGTAGCCGTCTGTAACCTACGTATTCCTCCCAAACGAATTTTTTATATCTTTGGTCGTTTTCCCATAAAGCTCCGTCCCGTTGAGCGTGAGCCACCCTGTATATATATTTTTTTTTTCAAAACATAAAGAACTAATATTTTATTTAAAAATTTTCATTAACAAAATCTTTTAGTGGTCCTCTTTTAATTTTTATTTTATCCGCTTGTGTTTAAAATAAAATAAGCGACAATAGGTATGGATAGACGAGATTATTTTATTCATAATAAAAATTATAAAAATGACTTTCCAGAAATTTATTCAAATGGGTTAGATTTTTCAACAATTTTATATACCGGGTGTTTAAATTAAAGTGTTACAGGTAAATACCGCCGAAAATATGCATTTTATAAAATAAAGTTTCAGACAAAAGTTTGATAGTTTTTTTGGGGAAATATTTTGGCTAAATTCATTTTTTTATAGCTGACCATAATATGGCCATATCGAGGTGGACTTTTTTTTTAAATTGGAATCTCATTTTTTTACATATTCTTAAAATTCATAAAACAATAAGAAACTTTTAAAGGAAACATTTTTTTATTGGACTTTTACTTATTGAATAACACCAACTTGAAAATTTTGCTGCGCGAAAAAAAATGGCCATGTTATGGTTAGCTATAAAAAATAATTTTAGTCAAAATGTTTTCCCCAAAAAACTATAAAACTTTCGCCTGAAACGTTTTTTATAAAAGGCGGTATTTAACTAAAAAATCCGTTGTAATTAATGGAAATTCCTTTTAATTAAAAGTGCAAATGGTTGTTTTTGCAAGCTGGAGCATTTTTGGAATTAACAATAATTTAGAATTCAATTTATTCGATCAGAGAGAAAGTACGAATAGAAATGAGAATAATCGGGAATGCCTAAAAGAAAAAAATTCTCTTGTTATTTCAAGGTTAGTTTCAAATGGAAAATATATAAAAAGTTATAACTTCTCATATTTCTCCATAATTATTTTTTTGAAGGAATTGAAGACATATAATCCACAATTTTTAATTTTTTTACGAAATTCTTATTTATAATTTTGTGTATACTCTCATTTATATTTATTTTTTTTTATTAATTAAAACACTCAGTACATTATTTATTAGTATAAAATTGTTGTTATAGAGTGTGGAGAAGCAGAAATATCAATTTCACCTCTCTTAATGTCTATAAAAACTCTTCGTACTTGATGATCACCCCTACAAAAAAAAAATATTTTAATTACCAAATTTTTCAGTTTATATAATTTATATTTTTTAATATTCTCAAATGACTTTTCGTACTCGTAGATCACTGTTTTTAAGTTATTCTAGTTTTTGCTATTATTTATTTCATTTCATCGTATCTACTATGAATCTTTTATCAAAAACCATTGATTAGTTGGTGTGAATGGAATTCTTTGAAAGTACATTCAACAAAAACCATGTATATTATTTTTTAGTCTATATAAATAATTATTTATTAATCTCCAAAGTCCAGTGATTGATTGAAATCGATTTATAAATAATAATAATTCTAATAATTTATTTATTTATTAAAATACGTAATTTTACTTACCTATTAACGAATACGACCACAATTAACCCATCAGGCCTTTTAAAAGCAACAATATCAGTCAAATCATCACCATCGCATTGAGTGGTATATATTCTGACAGATCCCCTTGGTATGAATTTGGAGAAATGTCCTAAAGCATAATAGGTCGGTTGCTTATAGAATTCGTTAGCTGTTTTATTAAAAATTATAGGCGAATCGACTGGTCCAGCTACCCTTGGACCTCCATCTAAATCGAGTACCATGTTCCAGTCTACCCAGCCCGTTACCCAATGATTTAGATCCTAAACAAAATTAAGACGTTAAACATAAATAAAATCGACAAAAATCCATACCCCTCCTTTGTTAAATCTCCCAGAATATTATGATATTTCGTATATACCTTAAATATTGCTCGAAAATAAAAAACAATTTAAAAATTATAATAATTTAACCTAGCAACAGAACCACAAAAAAATCTCCAAAAACTACCCAAATCGACATAAATCCATACTTTGTTAAATCTCAAATCCAGAATATTATGAAATTTCGTATATATCTTAAATATTGGTCGAAAATAACGAAAAACATAATACTAATAACTAATATTTAATACTAAAACGATCCAAATAAAAAAAGATAAAATGTTATTTGTAATAGAAAAAAGGTCTGCCATATATATTTTTATTTCCTTCTATACACACTTCATTTTAATCTGTAATAAATAACGATCCTACATGGTTCCTACCCGCCATCGCTTCTAATACATTTTTCCAGGTCCATCAAAAATTCGCAATAGTCTTGTACCCTCTACCATATCGGCAACATCTAATACACATCTAAGACTAGGATTGTAATTAAAGTTGCCTAATTATATTTAATACTTCAATCAGTCCCGCGACTTTTGTATTACGTTCATGAGTACAGATACAGGTTAAGTTCGTTGGGTATTATTATCCACCATTGAAAAATAATTTTAACAAGTATTTTCATAAATTTATTTTTATATTTTACAAGTACAAGTACATTGAGGTACATAACATAATTATAAACTTACAGAAAACAGAAATATATTCTAACAGTATTACAACTTAAAATTTTTGTATTTTAGTTTCAAATATATGATACATACAAATTGACAAATTATTCATGAAAAATGTAAATATTTCGACGTCTCAAACTCGAAAGTATTTTCTCAACATTTATAAATTTTTATAAATAGTAATAATAGGGCTTATCAATTATTCTGTTTGAATTTACTTCAATTAACAAAGATGTTTATATAATCAAATATAAAATGATTTTTGAGATGCAAGTTTTTGGCTTTTAATGTTTTAATAAATCTAAAATAAAAAATAAATTTTAGATGAACTCACCTTAATTCACAATTCACAACACAAAATACAAGTCTGTAAAACTACAAAAAAACTGAAGTTTCAAAAACAGATATCTTTTAACCCATGCACCTTTTCACTTCGCTAAGTTAATTATGGATCGGGCATCTGGCAATAAATGAAATCGCGACCGATGCAGCGCTTAATATATAAAGTTACGTACGTAAAGTTCAGACAGGAAAAAAAAGCTTGTCCGCTGGTTGGCTCATTGCAAGCCAAATTTCAAGCTCAAACATGAATAAAATCATATCTGTATGAGTTTACACAATTCATGTTATCATGTTACGTATTCGATCGAATGAATGCTATTATTGCGTACTCTCATTTGGAAAATATATTATTTTCGAGAAATTCGGTTTCCTCATCTCAAAGAGTAAAAATAAAATAATAAACAAATAAAAAACAATGTAATAGCTAGCAATTCCTTACTGTGTTTTTTTATTATTATAAATTTTTGTTTTGACAATGTTGTTTGTTGCTTTATCTTTTTTTTTACTTTTGAGTTTGCACCACACGACTTTGCCCTTATGTACGGCCCGGGCCTGACTTCAATAGTTACATTTATCGATTTATTTATATTTTCAGAGCAGTAATCTATGTTTTTTTGTAAAAAAATGTACAAAAAGGCTGGCATAATTATTTCGAGCTCTCTAATCATTAAAATACGAAAAACGTAATTTGTGAAAGCATTTTTAATATTGCTATCGGTTTTTTTTTAAGTAAACTACTTATCGCAGTTACTTTATTACATTTTAATGTCATCAATATTGACATAAACTCTCTGAATTTTATAATTTTATTGAAGTGAATACTATGAGCACCCTCTAAGAATCCTGCATTAATATAAATTGAAACCTTACCACGAAGTGATAATTTTACAATATATGTTAATATACTTTTACCCTAAAATGTTTCATATCTCTTTGTCAACGACAATCGTTGACCGCATGTTTTTGTAACAGCGACCTCTCTTGAGGCTAGACAAAGTCTGTTCTTTATATTCTGTATGCTCATCTTTAATTTAATAACCCCTGATCCTTTCGGGATCCCAACATTTCATGATAAAGTTAAACATATGGGTCCTTTATTTCTTAAGGGTAGCCCAAAACTTTAACAAATAAATAGTGTTATAGACACAGATATTTAACATATTAAATATCCATATAACTAAATACAAATTTTCATCATAATAACGTAATTTATACGCTTTTTATTTACTACAAAACATGTTTGCTTTATCTACAAATATTTCAAGTAAAATTTAAAAATAATTCTACATATTTGAAGCTGTTAATTTATTATTCACTTGTAAGTAACAAATAAATATTTTTATATGTATACGAAACTTTGGACTACCCTTAACAAATAGATACACAAAATGAGGGAACTTTTCGTAAGTACAAACCTGAGCGATGTCCCAAGCGTATCTTTCGGCTCTATCCCAAGCTCCTAGCCTGATGTTATTTACCCAGTCGCCTCAAACAAAAAGGGAAATTATAAACATGTGGCTCATGCAAATATGTGCTTAAAAGCTTAAAAAAAAAGTATAATGAAATTAATATTTTCAAGTCAAAAGAAAACGAAGTCTGCTCCATTTACGAGTTACAACAGGATGATACTTTTATTTAAAGAGAAAAAAATAACATTTAGCCTGACAGTACTTAAAGTTTATTTAAAATTCTTCAATGAATTTAATATTAACATTGGAAATATTAAATCAAACGAAAAATATAAGTTATGAAAATTGTAAAATCGACATTAAGTTAAAAGTTCTAAAGAGCTGTTCAAAGAATAGAACAGATGAAATAAAGCAATTAATTATTCTTTCCAGCTTATTTTAGCAATTCCATTTTTCCAATTTTTTGTGTGGACGTGACAACGTTGTTAATTCTCGCATTTATCTGAGGTCGTAAATTATCCATGACCGCAAGTTATGACAGACAAGAAATCGGTGGTTTTTAAATAAAAAGAAATTTAAGAAAATAAGAGAAGAAAACAAATAATGGGACAGAAATAACAATTCAAACATTGATATATAGTTTAAAAAATCTTTATATTATTATTATTATTATTATTATTATTATAGATAGATTATTAGAGTTCTGCTTTATTATACAGAGTGGACAATTTAACTTAAACAAATTCTGTAACTTAATAACTAAAGGTTTGTCGTAAAGTTTATGAAACGCGTCATTTTTTATTTTCAATGAAGCATTATTGGAACTAGTAAAACGATAGATATCAGCAAAAGATTTCGAAACAGGCAGACAAAAGGACCCATAGACAGATTGGACAGTCAGGCAGACCGACAGGCAGACAAATAGACAGTCAGGCAAACCGACAGGCAACAAATGGACAGTCAGACAGACGGCTAGACAAATAAATTCACAGAAATTAACAGAAATTCATAGAAATACGTATATTAAAGCTTTTTACCTTCACAACCTTCTGTGGCCAATAAGAACAAATTAGGATAACGTTGATGAAACTCGTCCAACAAATAAGTATTGTTGTCCTGGTCCAAGTACCAGTGCAACCCAACACCATGTACGCAGTGTTCCGTTCCGTTTGTCAACGTCTAAAATTAATAATAAAATAATACTCTAATTTATTTATGTATAAGAACTTATCACATACTTTAGGAAGAACCGCAAGAAGCAGTGGTCGTTGATCATCGAGAGTTATAACTTTAATATTTCTGTGCACAGAGTTTCGAAGTGTTGGCACTAAATTTTCTCTGATCCATTGGCCCTAAAAAATCAATTCTTTAAAAGCGTTTACCATGATAACTTTAATCAAAAAAAGTAGCTAGGTAAATAATATTTTATTTTTCAATATAATGCTCGTTCAACACACTTATCCCCACGATATTCCAAATTAGCAACGCACTGTAGGTCGATGAATCCAAGTTGTCAAAATAGCTATTTACACAGTTTACATAACTTTTCCTGTTAAAAAAACCGTTTCTGTATTCTCTGTTGGCAAAAAACCATTGCTTGGACTGGTCTTTAGTTTCTGGAGTATAATAGTGGACCCAAATTTCATCCAGGGCCAAAATACGAAGCAAAAAGTTCTTCTATTTGTGTCGCAAGAACGTTTTTGGTTCGTTGTGAGCAAATATGGCACCCAACTCGCTTAGTATTTTTCATTTTCAATTATTCAGTTATAATTCTGTATATACTGTCATTTAATATGTCTACTATCTCCCGTAATTTTACTTGACTGTCATCCAAGACGATACGGTGACTTTTTCAATCATATTTGAGGCAGTAGCAGTTTATTGCCGTTCCCTATGAGGTTCATCATTATTTTAGTTGCGGTTGATGTTAAGCCTTTTAAATAAAAATACATCATCACTGCTCTTAATTCAGTTTTTTCTATTGTTTAAACCTTTTTAAAGATAATTCTACAAATTAGTAAAGAAGATTTCTTCAAATCCGCTCCATTACTATATTAGGCCGCGTAGTTACTGGACAATCCTTGTACTACATAATGTAGGTTTTGGTACTGTTTTCCAGCGCCACTTTTAATTAATAATAATAATAATAATGAATACTTACATGGTCGTCCGGAAACCATAAAACACCAGGTATACCCTCCATTTGTACATTCGCTACATAAGGTTCATTACCGGTCGTTATACCCCAGAAATTAACACCGTTATCTTTGTAACAATCTAAAAATTTTTGAAAATAATCCGCCCATAATTGATACAAACCCTTTTTGATGAAACCCATCGATCCTCTATAATTATTATTTTCTTTGAAATGTTTGGGAGCCACCCAAGTTGATGTGAACAATTGTAATTTTCTACTCGACAATCGATTGGCTTCCAGTATTACAGGAATCTTTAATTAAGAAATATTTCAGTTAGATTTTGAATGAATTGGATTTAATTAGTTTTGATTAAAAAGTAACTCTTTTTCTTATAAATCAAATAAATTTTAATTAATTCTGATAATGACATCAAATAAAAAAAGTATAATTTTACAATTATTCTTTCTTATTTTCAAATATTTTTGAATAGATATTGGTTATTTTAAAAAATTAACTCAGAATACATTATATTAATCTTATTTTACCTTATATGAAAGATCTTCTTTTGTTAATTTGAAATTACCAAGTGCAGGATCAATGCAATTAACTTCGTTTGTATTGCTGTCGATATAAGAATATACGTGTGTCGAAAAATCTGTAGCTCCCATAGGTACTCTACATAAATTGTATTCTATCCCATCTTCAGAAAAATAAGATCTATAAAAATTATTTATAAGAAATTGGTGGTCCCATTTGCACAAAGCCTGTGAATTAGCATAGAATTTATAAATTACAATTCATCAAAATGTAGAAGAAGAACATCAAGACTACATAAAGTATCATCGTTAGACTTACAATTCCATTCTGGAGCATTAGAAACAAAAGCAGGACAATTTGTGGTCAATATACACATTATACAGTAAAACTTGAAAAAAGATCATATAAAATCATAGAAAATCATAGAAAATCATAGAAAATCATAGAAAATCATAGAAAATCATAGAAAATCATAGAAAATCATAGAAAATCATAGAAAATCATAGAAAATCATAGAAAATCATAGAAAATCATAGAAAATCATAGAAAATCATAGAAAATCATAGAAAATCATAGAAAATCATAGAAAATCATAGAAAATCATAGAAAATCATAGAAAATCATAGAAAATCATAGAAAATCATAGAAAATCATAGAAAATCATAGAAAATCATAGAAAATCATAGAAAATCATAGAAAATCATAGAAAATCATAGAAAATCATAGAAAATCATAGAAAATCATAGAAAATCATAGAAAATCATAGAAAATCATAGAAAATCATAGAAAATCATAGAAAATCATAGAAAATCATAGAAAATCATAGAAAATCATAGAAAATCATAGAAAATCATAGAAAATCATAGAAAATCATAGAAAATCATAGAAAATCATAGAAAATCATAGAAAATCATAGAAAATCATAGAAAATCATCGAAAATCATCGAAAATCATCGAAAATCATTGAAAATTATAAAACATAAAAAATTGTAGACAAAAGTAGAAAGAAAAAAAAAACAAAATCATACCACATTCAATATATAAATAACTCACCTACTCTAAATTTTAAAATGTTGTTACATACAACAAATCACTTGGAACCACACAGTAGAAATTAAAAGAAGAACTATCCAAAATATATTCGCGATTTAAGTGCAAAAAAAAGAAAAGTTAGGAGAAGATGGCATCATAATGCTGATGTGTTCATTAGACCTACTTCTCTAATAAAATAAAAAAAGTAACATTAATCTGAAAAATGCTGCTGGTTTTGATATAGTAGGTACTGATAAGGGTGTCTCTAAACGACAAAAATCCAGTAAAAAGAATAAAGAATACTCCGTTTTGAGTTAGTGAAGAAGAAGAGCACTAGTTGGTATCATAAGTTTCTCTTTTGGGATTAAAGTGGACTGTATTATATTTATTTTGGCCTCAAATTAAAATGCTACTCGACTTTACTAAATTATTTTTCAATGTACAGCTCTGATTAGACAACCCCGGTATTACCAAGCAATATAAAAATAAAGGGTTTGCATAATTTTTATATATAACCTATAAAATGTTCAAAACCATATGCACTGTTCGTTCAAATAATCTGACAGTAAAAAATAAAATACCCTCAAACGGTAATGTAATATTCAACATTTACTTACTTCATTAAATGAGCCCGAAGCAAGTAAGACATTGTTTTAATAATCAAAAATTTAATATTTATATGTTAATGTAATATTCAACGTTCTACTTACTTCAATAACTGAGCCTGAAGTGAAACAGACATTGTTTTAATATTAATTGCAGTTGCATCACTAAACGCCCCGCCGAATCCTAAAATTTCCTGGAATGTCTTGGATCTGTCAATTATTATACTCTTGGATGGAGATGGATCCCAGTTTTTATAAATACCTTCGAAATAACATTTATTATTTTGTAACCAATGAAAACAAATGTCAATATTTTTTTTTTCGCAGAAGTAAATATGCACTAAGGTCAAGAAACTATTCTGACCTAAGATAGTGGAAAAGTGGCAAATTTTGTTGGTATTGCCATGAATTTTGAGATTTTATTTGTTTGACCCTTGTCACTTAAAACATATCCTCAAAAAATATGAAAAACTATAGATATAGAGAGAAAAATTATTATTTTTGTCGACCACTGACTTCAAATGACTCCATAAAGAAATATCCGGTGGTGTTAAGTCTGGAAACCTAGCAGGCCACTCTATTGTCTTTCATCGACCAATCCATCTATTCGGAAATACCTATGAGAGGTATCTCTTTACTGGCAAACCAAAATGTGGTTGATCATTATTTTCCTGGAACCAAATCGTTCTCACTTAATCCTTGCAACAAATGCGCCTTATAAGGATTCATTCTACCTCTTTTAAATAACTTTCGCACAGACAAATAAATGATATCCTTGTCTCAGAGGTTCCCTTTCTTTCTTTTTCAGTAAGCTTTGTTTTTTAAAACGGTAGCTAATTATTTTATTATTAGCGACTAACCCTGTATATTTTGTTTCAATTGATTTTCGGCTAAATTTACGACTCTCTAAAAGATTGATGACGTGCTATTTATAAAGAAAGAATTTAGAGATAAGGAAGATGTTAGAAAATAAACTGAGAGAAGTATATTGCGAGAACGTTTTTTTTTATAGTGAAAGCGTAAAAATTCAACTCTGTAAATCCTCTCTTGCGTATTCTGTTTTTATTAGAAATGTTCAAATTCGAACTTTTTCCCATCCAAAGAACCTTTTGTTGATCTTATGCTTTATCTAACATGAATTGAATATGTTAACAAAAAAAACTTCTAGTCTGATTTGTTTCCAACCGCTTCATGCATTCACGTATTGATTTCTTCTCCGTTATATTTTGATATATTTATATCCCAAATTTCTTTTAATATTTATAGCAAACCTTTAAGTTTTATTACGTCTATAAAACAAATAAAGACTTGTTAAAGACAAAACAGTATTCAAAGAGTTGTATCTTCCAAATTTGAATCCTTTGTTTTTTTACTTGTAACAATAAATCATTTGGAATCCAACTTTTTTTATATATTTAATGTGATTCTCTGTATTTAATTTTCGAAAGTATTTTACTGGTCTGACCCATTATGCCATGCTTACGTCAAAATGTATATCTCGCCGTTTTGCCTGCAAAACTTGGAAAGTAATTCAAGGGCAGGGCTGGGTTTCAATTCGAAACATGTTGGATGTATTTCCAACAACTGGAATGGGCCCGTTGACTTTCATTTTTGAATGTGAATTAATTATATATTTATAAAGATATTAAACTCTTTTGTCTGGTGGTACTTTTCCCGTTAAGATATTTTTGCTAGAAGTAAGGGAATTCTCATAAAATTCTTTCAGTGCGTCAGAAAATCCCTAATTCCGTTCACGTCTCGTATCGGTTATGCTTAAAGACGGCGAGGTTGTCGGAAGTATCCCTAATATAGTATTTCTGCATTTATATATGTAATTTAAATAGTAAAATTCCATTATTTTTCTAAAATCTAAACTTATATTTTTAGATTTAAAGCTGGGAACTTATTTTCTACTTTTTAATTAAAACAATTATTTACTCAGGCTGAAAATTAATTAGACCATAATCAAAAAGTAGAAATTTGATTTGCAATATTTATCTGCTAAACGTGGCAACGTTGCATTTATTTCTAGAAGTGTGTGTAGACAACACTATTTACATTGCGTTCGGTTTGCCACGTTCCTTTAACTCCTTTAACACTTTTAACTCCAAACGACTCTTTTAGCGTTCGGTTTAGTCCGATTAGTGACAGTTTAACACGCTTAAATGTCATTTAAAAGCACCCTAAAATTTGTCCCGCTCCAGCCCCTGACTGACCGAACTCGCCTTTAAAAGCACTTACAACGTTGTCACGTTTACCAGATACATTTTCTCAAATAAAATTTCGATCTGGTAATATTCAGCTTGAGTAATACTAATTGTTTTTATTAAAATTTAAAAAAGGTAAGGCTTCCAGCTTTATCTGAAAATATAAACACATTATTTTTAAAAAATAATATTTTTTTTATCATGTAAATTTCTTTAATAAATGCAGAAGAGGAATGGTGGTGCAATGATACATCCGACAACCGCGCCCTTTTAACTATTAACCGATACAAGACCTGAAGGGAATTAGGGGTTTTCTGACGCAATGAGTCACTGAAAGCATTTTATGGGAATTCCCTTACTTCTAGCAAAAATATCTTAACGGGAAAAGTACCACCAGACAAAAGAGTTTAATATCTTTATAAATATATAAATAATTCACATTCAAAAATGAAAGTGAACGGGACCATACTATTATATTTTACCCCCTCAAATACAACCGTAAATAACACTTCTAATACCACAACCTACCTATCTGTCCAAATTTGATTATTATGAATAATACATTAAGGTAAAACTAATCTTTACCTGAATATTTGTTTTTGTTCTGATTTTCCCCACAGATTTCATACTCGTGATGAATCTCTGATAGGCATTCTTGGTAGTGGTACCCCTTCGGGAGTTGTGTACGAGTTATCTTAAATTTTTGTACGGTTTTCTTAAATCTAAGACCATCTTTGTTAGAAGTATAAGTTACGTAAGAATTTAACGGTATCTTTCCTAGTGATGGGACAGTATCGCAGTGATGGTCAGTACAAACACAGATAGTACCCCCGTTTCCATAGTCTTTGCTGATGCATTCTTGGGTAAGGACGCAGTTTATTTCTAGAATGTAAAATGAAAGTTACTTGAATGCTTATTTACTAGTGACCAATCAATTTAATAAAATATAAATTTTGACATACCCAATATTGCAAACCACAATATCCTTGCGAGAAATTTTTTTGATACTAAATAATGTAACATGACTTTGATTATAGTGAGATTATAAAAATTATTAAAATATTTTTATACTACTATTTATTTTAAATGCGTCGTATCGACGTAAATTAAATTACTCTAAAAATTAACTTGTAAGTGTAATTAAATATTATCTTTGTTTTATCTTGTAAGTTTTGTTGAACTTTCAATATTTTTAACCATTTATTTTAATTTTAATATACGGAAGTAAATTTAACACGTCGACTATAAAAGTTCCTGTATTCACATAAAGCATCTAACTCGCATAATGTTGATGTTTTTATCATATTCTTGTTATAACGGCTTAATTATTTCTATTTTAGTTACACGACATAATAGAAAAGTCTATCTAATTATTTACAACATAACTAACGATCTTCCCAAATACATCATTATGCATTTCCTGGTTTTCATTAATTAAAAGAAGCTCAAAATAGCAGGCTCTATCTCCTACAACAATTTGTCGGATATTCTATCCCTCTATCATTAAAATGTCGACAAACATTTTGAATAAATACAATGAAAATTTGTGCAATTAGGACGAAAAATACCTGAGCTAAAAATAGCTATGTCTATTTAGAAATAGAAAAAAAGAATTTAAAAAGACACCAATATTTAAAAAATATATATTTTTAAATCTATCTGTAAAAATATCAACGTGGTTATCGCACATAATGTTTGTAATAAAAGGTATAAAAAAGAGTATTCGAAATATATCCAACATATTTGGTTAATATCTAAATCCAACCCTGCCCTTGAGTAACTTAAAAGTTCCAAGTTGATTATATATCCATCTCTCTCTCATGCAAAATTGCAAGCGGTGCATTTATACAGTTATGACGTAACACTACCATGTCTTTGAAAAGTTCCACGTCGCATTAATAATGTTCTTACAACTTTCGGAGGAAATATAAAAGGCGAAAACAAAGCCAAGTCTCTCAGAAACAAGTTATTTTCCGTATAAAAAATCAATATTCTTCATATATAGTTAATTTAAAAATATTTAAGCCATGTATCCTATTAGTATACCCTTTTAAAAACGAAATAAAAATAAATGCTAAACTGAATTAAATAAGATCAATATTTTAAAAAATTATTTAAATCTTTATATTATTTATCGCAAATAATGGTTATAATATAAAATATAAAAAAATCTGATGTGTCCAACAAATCACTTTCCTGTCCAGTTATTACAGGTTTTTTCTGGTTATTTTGTACAGCCTATTGTATCACCCCTGTAAAAGTTTAGAGGATGAACTAAATACATACATTTTCCACACTCATCTAATTTAAAACACTTTTTATATATATTCATTGCCAATAAAAATACTGAAAAATTAAAATTTTACATTTTTCTCAAATTTTTCCATTACGGTCCATTTTAGAGAAATTGTATACCTATGAAAGACGATAATATCGCAAACAATTCTCTTAAATATTTGAATTTTGAACATTTTGTCAAATTTCTCGAATATGGATCATTTTAGGAAAATTATGTATAGTATAAAAATTATAAAGAATAATATGACAAGCAACTTTTATTTTCTTCGCCAAGCGTAAATAACGGATATATTTCGTAAAGTAGATAAAAGACCCCCTATAAAGTACCTCTCCTCCAGATGTTCCACTATACCCAAAATATACTCATCTCACCACAGGATAGATTAAATTTAAAATTTGGTGCTTTTGTCTATATCCGAGTAATCGAGACACATAGACATCATCGCTAAATAGTTAAAATGAATTCAGGGGACCCAAAAACGTAAAAATCCATCGAATACTCGAGTACGAAAAAAATCATGATTCCTATTATTTTCTTATCTGTATACAGACAAGAAAGTCAAAAGCTTTTTGGAAATATATCCAACATATTTCGCTTATATCTAAATCCAACCCTGTCCCTGAATAACTTAAAAGTTGATCGGCTATATCTATCAAATTTTACTTATTTTAAAAAGTTTGTATCGCTCCCATGATAGTAGTGAAACAGAAGGAATGGTACTTCAAGTGGGAACTAGGCTGTCAAGGTGTCGGAATATAGAAATATGTTGTTTTTATCACTTTCTTTTATTTATTATTTAATTTTATTTATTTTATTTAATTTATTTTGTATTTTGTTATGTATAAAACTTTTATTTATATTTTTGACATGCAAAAAAAATATAAAAAAATTTAATGCTAAAGAAACATTCTGGTTCATTTGTATTAAGTACCCCCCTCTCCTCCCCAGATGTTCCAACTTTGCTCAAAATATAATATTTTCCCTGCAGGATGGATTAAAGCTTAAGTTTAAAATTTATTGCTTTTCTCTGCATCTGTTCACGAGGTATCGAGTATACAGACACACACATAGACATCATCGCGAAAAATAGTAAAAACGGATTCAGGGCACCCCAAAAACGTAAAAATCCGTCAAAAACTGGAGGTCGAAAATAATTATGATTCTTATACTTTCTTTATCTATATATAGACAAGAAAATAAAAAGACTGTTAGAAATATATCCAATATATTTTGCTTATATCTAAATCCAACCCTTCCCTAAGTTGATTAATCGCGAATCTATTTTTTTCGCATGCAAAACTGCAAGCAGTTCATTTATGCAGTTATGGCCTAACACTACTACATCTTTGAAAAGTCTCCTATCTACACCACTTCGAGAATGTTTTCACAACCTTTAGAGAGAGATATAAAAGGCAAAAATAAAGCCATGAGCCTCAGAGTGCTTATGAATTTTTCAAATAATACTTTGCTGACGAGCCCGAACACGTATCACTTGACAGCTTCTCCTATCTGAATTAAAAATGCAGTGAATTAGTTTTCTAGGCAAATTAAGCCACACAGCTTATGTCAATTGATCCAGTTACTTTATATAAAATGTGCTAAATTTACTTGATAAGTCCCATTTTGTAAACCACAGTATGGCATTTATTTCACAAAAATGGTAATAATGATAAATATTTCGTAAAGTAAAAATGTATTTTATAGTTCCTTCTTCTGCGCAACACACGAAAGATTTTATAATTATGAAATACGAACATTTTGTGGTTTCTCTCTCAAACTTATTTAATCTTTTCCAAACTTTTCTTGATAATACGGTTTTATCAAAAATTAAATTTTCGTTCTAATTATTTCAAAGTACGACAAAGAAAACGTTTTAACAAATAATGAAGTATTTGTGTAATTATATAAGCTTTTTAACCAAAATTTCATCACAATAAGCATAAATTCCAAATCCTGTTGATTTAGAGCTTTGGGAGAATTAATTAAAGTGAATTCTTTGGCTATAAAGGAAATATTCAAATATTTGTTTGGTTTATTTATTTTGAGTTATCAATTATTAACAGGGCCAGAAGTATTTTCACCCGCAGAGACATCATTATAAAAAGTTGAGGTATTTATTCCCAAGCCATTCGATTTAAAAATTTTTAATACTAAATCTAACGTTAAATCATTATTTTGAAGTAAGAAATCTTTACAAATATAAATTATAACACTTATATATACATACCATAATTTCATAAAAATAATTAGTAATTTATCCTATAAAGATCAATATCAGTAAATAGCTGATATCAAAATATTTGCTCTCTTAATAAATAAAAATATTAACATAGTTAATAATGGTTGTAATATAAATTATAAAAAAACTGTTGGAAATATATCCAACATATTCCGCTAATATATAAAGCTAACTCTGCAGAATTAACTCAAAAGATCCGAGCTTATTGATCGCGATATATCCATTTAAATAATTAAAAAACCATTAAAAATATAAATTACGATATTTATATATCACAATTTTATAAAACTAATTGATCATTTTCTTCTTCATTCTCTAATTGCTAAAGTTCGTTTATAGCTTCTTATATGTCAGTTCTAACCGCTATTATTAAAATGTTATCCGCAAATGTTCTTTTGCGGTATTTATTACGTATTCTGGACATGGTATGTCATGTATATACAATTAAACGTCTCTATTTTTTGTATTTTGTTTGCTTTAAAAGCCGCACTTAGCAGTAAAGAAAGAAACTAAATTGGTTCAAATAAACCTTAATTGTTTAATTCTATTGTTTTATTTTTTATTTTAGTAAAGTTGAAATGTAGCCATTTCAGAACTCTGCCTTCGCGAAAAAGAATAAGATCACTGTGTTCACATTATCCCAATAGAATATAAATCATTTGATGAAAGGTTTTTTATATTCTGTCGTCTTGTTTTCGGCGCAATCTAAAATATATTAAGTGACTCCGTTATAAAATATAATTATCTCACAAGATACAACATTATTATTAATCGGTTTTTAGATACAGTTCCTGTTTATTCTATGACTTTTGTTTCAGTTCCAATATTAATGATGCAGACCTTGTATTTTTAAATCATTTTCAAAATATTGAACTGGAGATCGAAATTTGAATAATATTCTTCTAATGAACATTTAAATTGTTATTTTATATTATTTATTCTGTGATATTATAAATTTAGATATCTTATAATATTAATTAAAAAATTGTCTCTAAATTCTACTTATGGTCCCTCAAACCGGATGAAAAATAAAGAGATTCTTAAACACCATCTCAAAATTATCTTTGAAATCTATTTATGGTCCTTCGAGCAAAAGTTCAAAAATTTGAAAAACCTATAATTATTGTCAATAATAAATGGAAATATAAACACAAAGCACCACGCGTTTTCGTGGATTATAACTATATTTCTACAAAAGAAGTTTTCATTTGAAAAAATCGTATAACATAAATTTTCTCGGTTTTATTAACTATTTTCCCATTTCAGATACGCAGGCAGAAAAAAGCTATCCAGGATGTACTTTTTCATCCTCCATCTGAGCGTAGCAGACTTAATAACAGCGTTCCTCAGCGACCTACCCCAACTGGGATGGGAAGTCACTTATAGATTCAAAGGTGGTTATTTCATGTGCAAAGTGGTGAAATACGGTCAAACATTGGGCCCGTATCTCAGTTCGTACGTGCTAATGGCCACGGCCCTCGACAGACATCAAGCTATTTGTTATCCGTTGACGTACTGTTCGTGGACTTCCAGGAGATCGAAGGTTATGGTGTATGCGGCTTGGGTCGTGAGTTTGGCGTTCTGTATTCCCCAGGTAAGCGGTGGATTTTTTTTACAATGGAATTTTATTTTTTGTACTAAGAAAGCGTTAAAGCTGAAGGGAATACTTAAGGAACTCCGTTTAGTTTTTCGTTCTGGTAATTTGGGGTTGAATTTTGGATTTTCATCGGACGATTCGCGATAAACAAAATACATTTTTATTAGAGGTGTGTTTTTATATAGTTTAGTTATTTATTGTTTTCAAATTGTTAATCATAAGAAAATATATCAATCAATATTAGAAAGTAAATTAACAAAAATAATACTAATAAATTTATTTAAAAAAATATAATAATAAAAAGAGAAATTGAAAAATTAATAATTAGTTAGGATCTGTTTAAAATACCAGAAATATTTGAAATGAAGAATCTCAAGTCGACTGTACCTTGTTCGAAAATGAAAATCAATAATTAGAGAAAGAAAATAATTATGGAGATTAAAGAAATTAAAAAATAATAGATAAAGGGTCGAAATGAAGAAATAATAAAGGATCAAAATCAAGAAATAACGGAATAGCATGGGAATAATGATTTTATGCTTAGGATTAATTTGACTAACAAAAACCAAACTGCAAGAATATAAAATAATGTAGAATGTATAAGAAATAAAATGTGTATTATGATTAGAAAAATGAGAAAAAAGGTAGATTGTATACAAATTTATTTACGGTTCTCATTGATAACAAACGATCTTATTTTAAAGAAATGTAAAAGAGTATAAGAAAGGATTATATTTTTATTAAAGATACATTATCTTATGGACAAACTTATGAAATACATAATTATATAAAAAATTAAAAATTTAAAATTAAATCCAAATAAAAACAAATAAAAGTTACTATTATGTAACAACCAGCTAGCCTAAAGACCATTTGTAACTATTGATAGGTCTTGAGCTACTGTTGTTAATATACTATTAAGGGATTAAGGCAGCATTGTCACCAGTCAAAGGATCCTGGAGTCCAGAAGGATCATCCATAAATAAAAAAAAATTAAATTGAAAGAACAAAAGTTATCCCTTAATAGCATAGTCGAGCGGTTCTTGGCAATTAGTTTTAGCCTCTTTTAGTCCTAAGGGAATAAAAACGCCGAAGCTTCTCAAATGCTCGGAATATTATACTAGTTTGGAAAGGGCGGGAGAGATTAATAATAAGTATTAAGACAGTGACAAATGTATATTTACAATAAGTACAAAATTTGACTAATAGTCTTAAGAAAGAATGACTAAAATTATATTTAGGGAATAAAGCACTACTTGATAATATATCCAAACTTTTAGTAAAAGACTCTATGATTTATGACAACTAGATAAACTTCCTATTAAATTATATAGTTTGGACTTTAGCTATAAATAATCCAATATATTGTAACGGACAATACCTTGGTCAAAAATATTTTAGAATTGTGAAATGTACATAAGTTAAAATAATAACAAATTAAAATTACTTATTAAGGTTTCTGTTAAATTATTTATAGAAAAATAAATAAATAATGTAACAATGTTGATTTAATTTCAAGCTATGAAAGCATAATAGGTTTCTAACAGTGTACAATAAATTATAAATGAATATGAACTAATAATACTTACAAATTTTGAGCATCAACATGTAAAATTTGCCTTCACATGTAATTTAATATCACAAATAAAACTCTTTTAACAATAATTTTACTGGAAACTTGTAGAATGGAGTTTTGGGATTAGTTACTGACACAATCCACACTTTGGGAAGTCCAATCCTAATAGCTGGGTACAAATTAAGATGTCAGTGTAGACTCTATCTCTGATCCTAAAAAAATATTTAATATCAAAACATGTAGATGAGAATTAATGCTTACATAATGTTAATTATGGTTTGTAGAACAATTTTCAAATATTTAGAATCTCAAAATAACTAAATACCATTAAAAAAATAATAAAATAAAGTAACTTTTTAGGTCAATAATTTCAAGAAATGTTTTACAAAAAAGTGTATGCAAAAGCTTTAATTTAAGAATAAGTTAGAAAATCTTTGTAAATATTGTAAAATAAAATTGTTATAACTAAAAACTATCTAGTGAAAGTGTTTTAAAATAGAGTGAGAAAAAGTTTATAAAAAAATAATAAATCATCGTCATATATGGATTTTGAAGGAAAATTTAGAAAAACTTACATATTAGTAGGCTGTGACATCAAACTTTATTAAAAGCAATTTCCATCAAAAATGGAGTCAGTTCCTTTTTATTTTCTGCCCAGTAAACACCTAGGATTTTTGTCGAACTGTCGATAAGGAAGATTCCTGTATTACCGGTTTTTTGACACTTTTTGACATTGGAGCTGTAAAGACAGGAGATTTGCTGTCGAATTTTTGAAAATTGCCGCTGAAACTTCAATTACTGGATTGCCTACATATTATTCCCACAATAATATAAGTGAAAACTGGAGCATTACCTCGTTTGGAACATCACAATTCATCCAATAGGATTTTATAAGGTACTTCTGCACAAATTTGGAAAACCTATAAAAAAAAAATGCTACGATAAATCTTGACAACTAGGAACTATTTCTATAAGACAAAAATATAAAAAAGTTAAATAAACATACCTAATCTAATCGAACTTTATTCAAACAGAATTCTAATTAAATTTATGCGAAAGTGACCCATATTAACATTGACATTTATTTTGTAATTAGGCTAAGATATTACCTATGCATTTCTATTTATATCTAATTTAGAATAATCATGCATGTTATTGATCTACAGACTTAAAACCAAACAAGTTTTTAGAACAATAATACTTTACTTTCTATCTACTAACTCTTTTGGCTTTGATGCAATCAATTTGGTAAAAAAAAAAAAAAACATTTCTTGAATTAAGTACTTACGTGATTCACTTCATATTTATGCAGTACACTGTTAGAAAAACAGTTAATCACACAATTCTTAAATAAATTTCTTTTTAAAACTGAACAAATACATTTATTTATTTACATCTTCGCTGCAAATATCAACATAACCTCTCCGATCTCCATTTCCAACCATATTTAATATTTATGACATGCTGCAACTTCACGCTCAAGGAACCCACCTGTGGATTAAGACTACTCGGCTCACAACCAGATCTAAGAGGATCGTTATTTTAAATTATTAATATTATTTTTAATAGCTAGCTTGGAGCAATAAAGTTATTAGGTGTATGGTGCGTACTGAGACTGAATAGGTGTTGCAAGGTACGAGCTTTTGCTGGCGCCCAGGGTACATCATTTTAACAATATTTTTTTTTTTTAATAAAATTACCTTTTGTTTTATTTTCTTCTGTTTAATACTTTATCCAATGACATTATATTTTTTTTAACTTTGATCATGAATGTTGCAAGAGTCAATCCTACACACTGGTAAGTTTCAGTAAATCTTAAAAATAACAATTATAAAAAAATAATAACAACAATAAATAAATTACACGCACGCGCACCTTAATAATATATATATATATATATATATATATATATATATATATATATATATATATATATATATATATATAATACCCGGGACGAAAAATGGTAAAATTAGCATTTATACCTAAATCAATTAATTATTATCAACCAAAACAATTTAAAAATAAGTTAAAGATATTTACCTATATTACACAATCACTGCAGAAAAACTTTACTGTACACATTTTGGTGTTTCGGGACCTATGGTCCCGAAAAACGAGAGCTCTCGCCATCGGCGAAAGTTCTCACTCGAAGTCTTCTTCTTTCTGTCTAGTTTCTCTATATAAACCCAAAATTTACGTGATAGTTGTTAGAATGCCTAATTCAATGAAAGCCATTGACTGGAGTAATATCCTGATTATTTTTTGTATTTCTATACGTGTGTTTCCTTCTGAATGTTTAATTTAAAACATTAAAAATACTTTTTTAGAATTTTCGGTAAATTCTTTATATTTTTCAATAATAATGATTACACTTATAATAAATATAAAACTCATAAAATTATTTACTATGTTTGTCTTTATAAAATTTCACATTAACTCAATATAAAATTTTTAATAGTCAGTCCTTTTCAGTCAATCTCTGTATACTTTTCTATCTTTGGTCGTTGGTCACTGGGTCTTTGATCTCGGTATGCAATGAAGAATCTTCCCGATTTATTTTCATTTCGAAATAATATCTTATATATAGTTATAAAAAGTTGTCTATGAAATGCAGCAATATCTTATTTGAAATACATTGAAAATGCGATGAGTATGTTTTATTTGAATTGTGATGGCATTTCAAATAATATTATTTTTCTAACTGTAAAAAAGATGTTAAAAAACGTAAAGGTAGCATTTCATAATACCCAATTATTAGAAATTAAGTTTGCACTAATTCAAAAAGAAGATTTAAAGAATTAGGTATCCTATTTTTTATTTTTTCTGGTTCTGTGTTGAATTTAAAAATGTATACACTATACAGTGTCACCGTTAAATATTTTTTTTTTCTTATTTAGTTTACGCAAATTTAGTGTTTTTGTTTCGAAAATAATAAAAAGTGACTTTAACGATTTGTTATTGTTAATTTTACTTATTTAAAAAGTGAGTATAGTGGGGACTAGGCTGTCAGGGTGTCGGGATATTACTTTGTTTTATTTCCATTTATGTTTATTTATTTTTATTTATGTTTATTTATTTTTATTCATTTTTTTTTTTTTTTTGGTGTCATCGGCATCGACTGCTAAGGTCATTAGCCTCGTGTTCTGTGTAGGCTTTGTTACTGTTTCGCAGCGCCACTTTAGGAACAGCACAGTTAATTAGAACTCAACAGTGAATGGTCGAGTGGGGAATCCTACCAAGGCATCAGAATTAATTTTAAATAATTAAATTAAATAAAAAATCCCGGCCAACGGTGGGATTCGAACCTGGGACCCTTGGGTCCACAGGCAGAGACTCTACCACTGAGCCACCCACCCCTTTTTTTTATTTATTTTTATTTATTACCATTTATTTTTATTTCTTTTTAATTATTTTTTAT